TGGTCTAATCATGAGGGTAGTATTTTATCATGGTGTCGGATCCTAAGTTTTTATGGATTCCTTCTTTGTTACCGGGGTCGCCCCCAAAGCCATAATGTCTCAAAACGAGGAGGCCCTAGAGAAAGTCTTTTTTATTCCTTTGTTTCGAACTTCGTGAAGAACTCCATTCTCTCTCTCCCTCGTTACGAACAAAAAAGTGGGGCTACTAAAAAGTTGTACACTCCCTTCGTTCTACGAACCCTTGTTGATTCTGAACTTCGTTCGCGGGAAGTAAAAAGGACTCATCCTTTGTTGCATCTGGCACGAGATGATAAAGAGAGAGCTCCGTCTATCGATGAACAGCGGATTGACGGAGCTCTTGGCATTGCTTTGTTTTTCTCTCCTTTCCTATCAGCGAGTTCTGACCCTTTTGTTCGAAATTTCTTCGTTCGTACCGAACCGCTTGCAGAATCAAATCCTGTTCCACAAGATCCTATATTAGCTATACATCCTCCTTGCATTTATGCCGGAGACGTCGCCAGTGCTATGGGCTTTGGCTTATGTAGATCAAAAATGATGAATAGGATTGTGGCACTTCACTCGCCGCCAATGCGGAAGGATGCCGCCGAAAAGAATGGAACACTGTTTCGCTCTGTTGGATGCCTTGGATCCCGTATAACAAGTAAGCTCTTTACCCTCAAATTGAAACATGTGGGCGCAAAATGCTATCCTGCTTTATTGTTACGTAGCAATAGAAGCCTGCTTATGCTGCTTCGGCGGCGCTTTTTCGCCTTCTCTTCGCTCTGGACAGGAGCGCTAGTGGACACGGGGAGGGAGCAGGCGAAGCGTGTCGTTCGTAATGGAAAGAAAGATACCACTACTTCGCTTCTTTGTTGGACCGCCGGCCCGAACACAGTGGTTTCTGACCAGGACCAGGAACCAATTCGAATTTGGATTTTGACATGTCGGTGGTTTTTAACCGTAGGCATTTTGCCAGGAAGTTGGTGGGCTTATCATGAATTAGGTTGGGGTGGCTGGTGGTTTCGGGATCCCGTAGAAAATGCTTCTTTTATGCCTCGGGTATTAGCCACAGCTCGTATTCATTCAGTAATTCTACCCCTTCTTCATTCTTGGACCTCGTTTCTTAATATTATGACTTTTCCATGCTGTGTCTTAGGAACCTTTTCAATACGGTCCGGATTGCTAGCTCCCGTTCATAGTTTTGCTACAGATGATACACGAGGAATCTTTTTATGGCGGTTCTTCCTTCTAATGACCGGCATATCTATGATTCTTTTCTCCCAGATGAAGCAGCAGGCATCGGCCCGTAGAACCTATAAAAAGGAGATGGTTGTGGCGCGAAGTACTCTTGTGCACCTACGTCATTCGGCTCGCGCGCAAGCCCGCCTCGTTATCTTATGGAAGAATTAAGCTTATTGCTGGGCTGGTGGTTATTCAGAGCCAGCAATAAGCTGTCGGATTTCGTCCCGCAACTAGAAGAAGATCGCTTCGGGGGTCACTGTGGTGTGGCTGAATGTAGACCAGTCCGCCCTTACAGCCTTCGATCAGTAGATTATTTATAACTTCGGAAGATGGTCAAGGTAGCTTGCTTCCAAGCCACTGCACTAGATGGGCGTGTAGTCGTAGTAGTCGGCCCAGAATGTCTCTGTTCTATACTAAACTATTTCGGATGAATGGGGAATTACGTTGCTCTTTGATCTGCAGAATAAGGGCTAGGAGCTCTCTCTTTTATGGCAGAGATCCCTCCACACCAAGAAACCGAATCACAATGGATCGAAGCCCCCCTTTTCCTTCCAATTAGTGAGATTCTATCTCTTACTTGTTGGGAAATTGTGGTCAACCCCGACTCCGACTACACCTTCCTCGAAATCGAGACTTTTTACCATTTCCACTGACGAGCTTTCTCGCGCATACCCCTATTCTTTTAGTCAAGCTTGGAAGCCTATACTCTTTTCAAAAAGGAAAGCAGTAGACCTATATGAACTGAAGAAAGATAGGGATGTCGCTAATCGCTTGTTAGCAACATATCTGCTTTCGCAAATCGGCTTCACTGAGTACCCTTACCTTAAAGTAATCGAACGAAAGAGGGTATGGTTCTTCTGTTCCTTTCCCTTTTGTTCTTCGCCCTTTGAGGTCAGAACTTCACCCTGCCAGGCAAGACAATTGAGATAAAGATCATCATTCTCCGAAAGCAGTCTACTCATTGAAGGGGGGATATTTTTCTCTTATGAAGCAAATTTTATAACAGTAAGCAAAGTAGTCTATAGTGAAGAGGAGAGAGTTTGACTTTTATAATGAGAGTTGGTAGTTGTCGTCCCTTCCTCTCCCGCTTGTAGTCGTGGAATTTCATTCCGGTCTCACGTCTTCAAACCTGTGCTTCGGTTTAGTTACCGTCTCCCTAACCCCTCAACTATAGCTTTAGCGTGAAGAAGGGTGGAAGGTGAAGTAAAGCATTAGTTGGTCTCGACACCTTTATTAGTGGGAGATGACTTGCCAGCCCCAGCCCAGCTTTTTCTTTTGAGATTCACTCATTCATCAGTGGAAAGTGACGTTGTACCGCTCCTAAAAAGTAGACTGCACGCTAAGTTGAATGAATTTCTTCAAAAAGAAAGAAGCCTGCCGAAATGAAAGGGAGGAAAGCTCATAACTAGGGCTTACCTTGTTTGTCAAGACAAGCCGTCCAGTCTAGGTAGCGGACACCTCCTTCTAGGGCGCCTAGATAGTGAAAGGTTATCCCTTTGCAAGGCTGGAAGCTAAGCAAAGTCACGAAGCTGGCTGACTACGCTCGAGCAGAGCCCAGGCCCGGAGGTGGTGGCTGAACTCGCCGCAAAGTTCAGGAGCGAGCAAGACTATCTTGGTGAATGCAATAAGAACCGGCTGCTCGCCGCAGCAGAGTGCTTTGCCCATGCTGCTATCCGCCGCCGAAGCGCTCAAGGGATTCGTGCTTGAATGTCGAGATCAGGTTGGTGACAGCGGAACAATCGATGCGGCAAATCTATTTGTGGTGGAATAAACTCAATTCAATAAAGAAATAGAATATTTTTCTATTACGGGTTTCCTCTTGCCCTGGGCCTTTATTAATTTAGTCCGCGTCGTGTAAGACATTGGGAAGTGGTCACCATATCAATTTGACTATCTATCTAGGGTTTGAGCCGATACTCCACTTGAAAGGGTAGTTTATTCTTCGCATAGTCTGAAAAATGCTAAGTCATTGTAATTGTCTGCAAGCCGGTCTGATTTATTCTTATCTATATTCCTCAACTGAGACTTGATCGTCATTATGTGAGAATCCCTTTTTTTTGGAGTCTAACTCTCCTTCGAGTTAACTTCCATTAAAGAAACCTCTCTACTAAAGTGAAATCCGCCCCTTTTAATTCATAAGGATGAGCAGAGCGAAGTCATGTTGTCAATGGCGCTAGAAAACAGGATGGGGGCTGTAGAATGACTTTTCCTGGCTGAGGCACTCCTCGATGAGTGAATTGAGTGAGTTGGTTTGCCTGTGCTTAAATCAGATCTAAACCAATGGCAACGGCAAGCGCTAGCCTAAATAAATATTATGTTTTTTCTTTCGGCTCGATCAGGGTTTCAAAGAAAGAAGATTACTACTTAGTTAGATATAGAAGAACAAATCGAATGCTACTCGGTAACTCACTTGTATCCTTTTGTATCAATGAATGAAAAGATTGGAAATGCAATGGAAACTGTAGAATACCTGCATTTCTCTCATCAAGCAATTTCTTTCCGCGGAACTGAAGAAGAGCTTCTTGGCGTAAAAGACTTGTTTGTTGGCAGATGCCGTTGACTAAGATCTTGCTGACGAGGCCTTTCTTCAGACCGTGACTGATTCTTTGTCTGCTAAGCGAGGGCTCTTCGCCCCTTCCTTTCCGCGCCCCCATGAACAGACAGAAGAGAGAGCAGTCGCCACCTTCAACCTAGGTACTTACCTTGAGCCTTGATCCACTATTTCTTTATATACGAAATCGCCTTTGTTTTGTCGGGATTTCAGTCCCTCTCTGACTGAGAAAAAAGCTAGAGCTTTCCTGATTTTGGACAAAAAAGAAAAAGGCACTTCTGAGGGTTCAATCGCAGCCTCTATTTCCCGAGACGGTAAAAAAGCTTCTGCAAATTCAATAGATGATCCTCTCTTTCCCAGGACTTTGCGATCATATCGTCCACGTATACTTCGACTTCTTTGTGCATAAGGTCGTGGAATAAAGCGGTCAGCACCCTTTGATATCTTGCTCCGGCATTTTGAAGTCCAAAGGCCATGACCCGGTAGGAGAAGGTGCCCCATGTAGTTATTCATGATGTCCTTTCTCTGTCCTCCTCTGCCATCAACATTTGATTGTAAGCGGAGAAGCCATCCATAAAAGACAGCATGCTGTAAACTCGTGATATAGGCACGTAAACGTAAAGAAGGGCTGAACCCCTTACTCATGTAACTCCTAGCAGCTGTAGGAGCAGGATAGGCTAAGAAGCCAGGCAAGGAAGGAAGAGGGTGCCCCTGGAGAATTCGTTCCTAAGTCAAGATCACGAGAAGGTCCTGCGGATATATAGCCGAGTGAATCTCGAAGCTTGCTCTCCCAAAGGAGCTTTCTAGCTACTGACCTCGTGTAGGACCCTTCCGGCCAAGCACATCCATCAACGGAGGTCGAATTCCAGCAGCGAATGAGAATAGAGGGTGTAGGCTCGAAAGCCGGAGTTTGCTGGGTGCGGCAGCACAGATTTTGAGGATCACAGGAACGAGACCCGCTTATGCAGTTCCTTATGGCCCTACGCCCTGAGTTCGAGCAGCTCAGGGGTTCTCTGCTTCATCGATCTCCCCTTCCGACAGTTGATGCTGCTTTAGCTGAGTTGATTACGGAAGAGACCCGGTTAGACTCGCAGGTGCCTGCATCCTTAGGCAGTATGGATTCTGTTTTAGCTGCTGCCAAGGCTGAGCGCTCCTCTACGATCACTAAGGTAAAGTGGCATGGAAGTGCTGGAAACCGCTATTCCCCACCCTCTGCTCATTACAGGTATTCCACTCGCCTCTCTACAACATGATCCTATTACACCTTCCTTTCGCCTCTATCGCCTTTAGTATTGAAGTCAAGTTATTAGTAGCTAGTAGCGGGACTATGAATCGATAAAGATAAGGTAAGAACTACACTTGCTCTCTTGCTTTCTTCCTTATAGTACTGTGGCAAGCTCTTCTCTCATTGGGAGGGGTTTTATCTCCTCAAAGGCTCCCCTTAGAGTGGAAATATCCCTGGCTAGCGTCTGCGGAGTGTAGAGTTGGGTCCTCATTCCAGTCATTTTCATCTCCTTCTTGTGGGGACAAGAGAAGACGAAGATTGAAAGCATTCCCCTTGAGGCGGCAGGCCTGTGAACAGTTCCCTTACTCCAAAGCAAATGCTATTTCATAGGCAGAAGAATCATTCTCCGCAGAGGAAAGCGCGGAATCTAAAGCTTCAGCTAGAATAGCCTTTCCCTGTCTTTATGCTTTGCCGGGTTTGAGTTTTATAAGTACTACAAAACTGTTTACTACCTCAAGCACCTTGCTTTCTCCGGCTCGTATTAAACAACCTAAAATAGTCTCTTGCTGCCCCCTTTAGTGAAATGACTCCTAGGTAGGGGTCAGGAACGAGCTAAGAGAGTGAAGCTTTAGGAGTTCCGACTTTTGAGTTAGGAGCTAGTAGCTAAGAGTTCTGAGTTCTCGTGAGGCTAATTTGCACTTCTTTTTTAGTAGTGAACTCCTCTTACAAAGCTTGAACCGAGCCTCCACCTGCTGCAATTCCATCCCGCACACTAGCATCTGTATTAAGCTTAAACCCCGTGGATGGAGGATCCCAAAATACCGACTGGAATTGCAAACGAACCGGT